TAGATTTGTACCTGTACAGTCCTTTTCATTGCCAGCAATGCGGTCACCTGTACAGCCACGGTTGCTCTGGTCCAGATCCTGCAGAGAAAATCAGAATTAGGGATTCAGATTTGGAGCTGCTGGGGATAAAGTCCCATATACAACACTATTCTCCAATTACTTTAATAAACGTCTAATCCCTGTGAAGAAAATCGCAATTAGACAGTTGGTTACACATAGTTGCTCCGACCAACACTCTCCAGAACCTCAGTAGCTATAGAAAGTGTATTGTCATACCGGTTTGAATTCAGCGATGAATATCGGGATCAAAAACACAGTGCTCACAGAGTAGCTACATAAATATACAACTAACCACATGCCATATATACTATGCGTCATCTCATATTCCCATTCAAACACAAGCCACAGTGCTTTCGATATATAACTATACTTTGACATACCACAGCGCTTTCATACTATAACTGTCCCTTGACTCACCACACGCTCTATATACCATGTGTCATCTCATATTCCCCATTGCTCCCCATTGCTCTTGCTATCCGAATACACGTGTACGTTATCTGCTCCAGTGCCTTTTCTAGTTGTACGTTACCTATTGCAAGCCTTTCCTGCCGTCTATATCCGCACCCTCTACAGTAGCCAAGACCACTGCATTTCCCACATCCAGAGCTCTATTAACTGTAACTTGCCTCATACTATAACCAATCCTGTGTATTCCCATTTAAACTCCCATCCCAGAGTGCCCTTCAAACCCTATAACCCTAGAACATACCGCATGTTAAAGAGCAGGTGTGACTGGATGGCAGCCACCATGGCGGGCCTCTGTGGCAGTTCTATTTCTAGAACAGTCTGCACCAATCGCTCCACTGCCGAGGGAGTGTTATCATCTGAGAGGAGAGTGGGGATATAAGTGTAGGTATGTTTACTTCAACTGAGGTGCAATACATGAGAATTAAGTCATCGTATATATATATATATATATATATATATATATGAGTAGGTAATAGAGATAGAGGTAGTAATAAGT